TTAATAAATTAATAAATTAATAAATTAGTCTTCAAGGTGGCACAATACTTTTTTCTTCTTTATTTTTGCTTTGTTTTTGCATTACATTATATTTTGTGTTTATACTAAGCCTTTACTTTGGAAACATAGAAGTAAGTGTGAATTTCAACAAATGGGAAGAACATTTTTAGCATACTAAGTGTGTGCCAAATGTGAGCAGAAAATCATCAGTGCATCCAATTTAATGAGTTTTACAAGTTAATGGTAAATGTGGATGCTTGTGTAAAGCATCGTGTTCTTATTCCTTTACAAGTTTGAAAATGAAAGGGAAAAAGTGAAGAAACTGGAAGAGTTCAAACAATCAATAGAAATACGACTGGATCAAGAAATGAAGAGAAACATCGAATTACAAAATAAATATAATGGGTAAGAAGGTCTCAGTTTTTAAGAAATTAGCAAATAAGTGCTTAGTTCATAGAAGAATTCCTATTTTGTTAGTTCATAGAAGAATTCAGATTTTATTTTTATTTTTCTGTTTATGTATTTATGTTATTTACTGTACATTGCACGTAATGTATTATCAAATCACAGAATGTATGTATAATACAATATAGGTATAGTGAATCAGAATTTTACTAGTGTTTGTGTACAGTTTTGTGTTCTGTGATGTAACTAATAGATGAAGTGCCAAGTCACATCTTGGTCATGTGCTTGGTTACATACTGGATGGTGCAACTATGATGCACCCTGGCATCTCCCCAGTTAGCCGTAATTAACTACAACAAGCCCCACAAACAAGCCCTAACCAATAGCCATTAAATTAATGACAACTTAATGCCAGAATGATAGAATAGTGTCATAATGATGTAGAAGCCTATATACGTAAGCAATTATGTTTTCCAGGGGCATTTGAAATTCATTTTTGAGATGTTATATGTTTGGTTGCAATGACAAGTAGATATCCCCTATTTTCAATATAGATCTTGTAGTTGCTGTTTCAACTTATATACCACCGGACAGAACTAAAGCATTCTCAGGCAGTTTACAACATAATTATGCAAAGAACTTGCCCCCTCAGCAAGCTGGGTACTCATTTTACTGACCTTGGAAGGATGGAAGGCTGAGTCAACATTCAGCCAACTATGAGAACCCATCAAGCCTGAACTCAGGTCATATGCAGAGGCTTGATTGCAGTACTGCAGTTTAACCACTGCTCCACAGGGCTAGTTAACATAGCCATGCACTTCACAGATTTTCTTTTGGTTTTCAAGGGTCCATACCACCTTGGCCTGGAGGAGCTGTGTGTGATGCAAAGATTGGGTGTAGTGAAAGAGGAATTACATCTGTAGATAATAAGCAGCACTCAAAGATGCACTGACTCATGGTCCCCGTGATCCCTGTCAGCAGAACCACTGTTGTGGCTGTAAAATGACTGAATGCAAAAGAAACAGCATGGCAAGGGAAGGGAACTTGTAGAAGGGAGAAACATTGTTATTTTGACACTGTAAAGGGCAATGACAAAGGTAATTGCCAGCTTCCTCAATGCAGTTTAAGACCAGGGGTATATTTATGCTTTTACTTTTGTCATAAAATAAATCTTTTGCAAACATGTCAAAATTTTGAAGCTGGAGATTTATAATTTAATAAACATGCTTTGACAGGAAGAAGTGACTCCACCATACGTTCTCTGGTATGTTCACCTCTAGCTTTATTTTTATAATATTTACAGCATTAAAATACTTCTAAAAATAACAAAAAAGAAACTAAAAGAACAGGAGAATGGAGAGAGTTCATCACAAACGAGATGTCATGGAGACAGAAAGAACAAGTATTTAGAAATTGATGCTGAAAAAGGACAGCTAAGAAAAGAGGTATTGTGACATTCACCCAGTGTCCCCTGCTTGTTTCCCTCGAACCAAGGGTTCACTTTGGCGACGTCGTCTCTTTCCTTCGCTGCCACCAGTGGATTTCCCCTATCCACACTGTAAAAGACTTTCATCAGACACTTGCTGCCAACAGAACTTGTTTATTAAAAGGAATTAGGTTGACTTCGAATCACAGATGTTCTTTAATCATTGTATAGAATCAAAAGCATTGAAACCTCGTATATTTTGTTACATACTCAATCACCATTTGCTTTATTTATTCACTTTAACCAGCTTTACTTTATATCAGTTCTCTCTATTTCTCTATCTCTCTTTAATCTTCAACCTCTCTCCTTCACACTCTGCTTCTCTAACTCACTAACTGACTAACTATCTGACTAAATGATCCCGACCCTCCAGTCCTCTCATAGGCTCATGCAAATGAGCCCCAGCTATGAGTGACAGGAGTGACCTGGGCATTCGTCACACGTATATTCTCACTTTTTTAAACAAGTATAAGGGATCTATCAATTCCTGCATTTTCTGTAGTCCTTTTAGCGGAGAAAGTTCACAACTTTTAACCTATTCAGTGACTTTTTGCGTGACTCAAAAATAGTCAGCAATGCTAGCAATAGTCAGCAAGCCTTTTTTGTGGACTGATGGCTACTGGCCATTACTCTTTTATCCATATATTTTGTAGGAACAATGATAATAAATCTGGGAATAGTGTGGTGTATCATTGGAGAATAAAAAATATACATAGCAGTGGACCATCGTGAGTGTAAATATTGAACTCTGCAGAACACTAGGAAAACATTATGCAGTTCCAGGAGTATATTTTGTTTGAGTTCTGGATATAGCTCTGAGTTTTAGATTATCTTCTTCTTTAATTTATTTGGCTTTATGAATTACTGTACCTCCTGATTGAATTAATTAATCAGTTTCCTGTAGACTAAGATATTATTTTAAAACCTAACAAACTTTAATGACCAGGATGCATGGTTCTGTAAGCCAGTGGAAGTTATGGTGCCTTTGATGTTTAACTATAAGTTTAACTATAACTATAACCAAATGTTCCTGAAACAAATTAAAAAAATTGCTCTTAATTGCTTGAACGTTGGATTAATCTGGATTTTTGGGTATATGTTGGCAGTGGGATCTCCTCTGACTTCATGTATGTATAATATGGATCTTTGACAGAAAAAGAGAATGTTAGTGTAAGTTATAGTTGGCTTTCAACGTTTTAGCAGAAGATGTTGAACTGTCAGTTACAGATATTCACAGAAATATGGCGTGTGTTAGACCAGTGGTTCTTAACCTTTCTTACTTGGATGCTTTTGAACTGCAACTCCCAGAAACCCCAGTCAGGACAGCTGGTGGTGAAGGCTTCTGGGAGTTGCAGTCCAAAACTCCTGAGTAACCCAAGGTTAAGAACCAGTGTGTTAGACAATCTGCAGTATAGCCAAATCCTGCTGATTAGATTTATATTTTTCCCTCCAAAACTGATACAGAAGTCATTTATGTGTCCACTGCACCTGAAAGAAGAAACACCCAAACGGGATGATGTGATAGACCTCAGACAAATGCAACAATATAAGAAAGACATTGAAGAGCAAGCGAAAGAAGAAGTTAAAAAAAAGCTGGAAGAAGTCAATTTGTTTTTGCAGGTAAATGTACTAACACCTCTCACTCCATAGCTAACCTGGTATAGTTAAACATCAAATTACTGATCCTGGGAGATAACAATCAGCAATTAACATTGGTTTTGCCCCACATGACCTTGTTTGTTTTTAACATTTCTGCATATGGACAAAATGACTTCTTACTTTCTAGATTTTATTATATCATTTTTCTGTCCAGACCCAGGCATCCTCCCAAGAAACCTTGGAAAAAATAAGGGTGGCTAATAATGCTTCCTTGATAAATCAGATGGAAAGCATAATTGGAGATCTACAATCTGAACGCAGCAAGCTGAAAAGCAGACTGCAAGAGTGTCTCTTACAAAACGAGGCCATGCAAACGGAATTGAAAAAGTACAAGGATTTGTACTTGGAAGAACTAAAAAGGAGGAAATCGTTGGGAAGCAAATTGGTTCGGTAAGTCAAAATGGTCTTACAACAATCCAGTTCTCCTCCCCGTGTCTTTCCTCTTCATTTTGTACACATTCATCATGGATAAAGTTCAGCATAAAAAGAACATTTGGTCATTGTACCGGTGACTCTTTTACAACAAAGCGTTCAGTAGAAAGATTTCAAAAAGTGCCATGGCACTAATGTTCTGAATAACCAAGTCACCTAAATCCTATTGAACACTGGTTGTCTGAAAATTCCTGCCAGGATTTTTATAGGGATCACACCACACTTGTGCAGTCACATGAGTATGCAACAGCATTTTTGTGCTGTGGTTGAGCAAAGATGGCATTTTATGATGCTAATGCAAGTGTGAAACTTAAAAGCAACTGGCAAAAAAAGTATCAGATGCTTCCTTATATTAGCTAGGTAAAGTAACAGTGCAAGTAGAGTGGTACATGTGGGTCAGAGCCATTATATTTTCTCCCAAATGCAGATTAAAGCTGCTCAAAATAATACATTGATTTTCAGTAATGTTGAAAAGCCTTTTATTCTGGAATAAATGAGACTATGTAAATGATTATTCAGTGTCAGGTAGCACACACATAATTTATACCTCCCCACCCAGCCTCACCCGCATGTTTTGCTGTTTCCAGTTAGCAGTCAAAGTGCTGGCTGTCCGTTTATTGAAATCTCTTCAACTTGCACCTCTCCTTGAGACAAATGGATCTCTTGTTTGCTGTGGAGTAAACCGCAGAAGCCTCTGTGTGCTGCAGGGTCAGAAGACCAGCAGTCGTAAGACTGAATCCACGCGACGAGTGAGCTCCCATCGCTTTGTCCCAGCTCCTCGCCAACCTAGCAGTTCGAAAGCATGTAAATGCGAGTAGATAAATAGGTACCACCTTGGTGGGAAGGTAAAACGGCGTTCCCTAGTCACGCTGGCCACGTGTCAATGGAAACTGTCTTTGGACAAGCGCTGGCTCTATGGCTTGAAAACGGGATGAGCACCGCCTCCTAGAGTCGGACACAACTGGACTAAAAATGTCAAGGGAACCTTTATCTTTACCTTCATTCTCTGATATTCCCTCTCTTCTGTGCTGCTTTTTGAAGTTTCTGGAATTCCCTTTCCACATTGGTTTCCCTAGACTGCATAACAGCTTCTACTTCTGAAGCCAACACAGCAAGATAATCATGGTGGCAACTTGCAGCTCATCAACAATTTGCTTGCTTATGTGAGTGTGCAGACAATGCGTGCCTCGTTAATTAGCTGCAATTTGTCATTGCAATTTACACGTTTTCATTTATGCTGGATAAAACCCTAGGAGGATTGTGGCTAATGAACTCAGTGAAAGAACATGACCGTTTATGTTCTTATCTGTGCAATTCAGCTGATAGCACAGCAATTCTTTTATTCTTCTCCTTACGATACTAAAAATGTACACTCGGATATTTTGTGGGTTCTCATGAATCTGCTGTTATCACCATTCCTGCTAATACCAAACTTGATAGTCCCATTCTATCAACTAGACAACAACACAGAGCTACATAATAATTGGCTTCTTGAGGGGATTCTCCAGAAACACAGAAAAATACTCTTTTGTTTAAAGATTCAAGAAAGGAATAAGACAATACAGCCTAGTAATGAGTCACCATTCAAGAGGCACAGTGGTTACCAAAAGCCATGGATATTGCAGAAGGAGGAATTTACAGAAAAGAAAATTGTCATGTTCATGTTTCTGTACTTTTCGTTGTAGAGGGAGGGAAATACATGCCACCAGGATTTTAAATATACTATGGGGAGATGAGAGAAAGGAACAGACTCCATCAGCTTTCCCTTATTACAATACTGAAATAAAGCAACAGCTTCAGGCTCTCATGAATTCCTGAACCTATACTTCTTAACCTTCTATAGAAGAGCCCTGTGGTGTAGTGGTTAAACTGTGGTACTGCAGTTAGGACTCCGCTCAAGTCCTAAATTCAATCCTGATGGGCTCAAGTAGCTGGCTCAAGTTTGACTCAGCCTTCCATCCTTTCAAGGTTGGTAAATTGAGTACCCAGCTTGCTGGTGAGAGGCCCAATGTGTAGCCTGCACAATTAAATTCTAAAACCACCCAGAGAGTGCTTCAAGCATGATGGGGCAGCATATATGCAGCACACTGTGCATTTACATAGCAGAGTGCAGGCCAATGTCAAAAGGCGAGGAAAGAAAATGGTGTTTATTTTTCCATGAACCAATTCCCTACCCTAGTCCCCATCTGGTGTAGGACTACAAGACCTCTGTTCTAGGCAGCCTAGGACAGAAGCACTCCAGGGGTGTGTGTTAGGGTGAAAACCACACATTGCATTAGGGGTTTCTTACCTATTAAAAAAAGGTTAAATGCATCTTTCAAATACACAAATACAACTTAATACAAGTAAACGTACCATTGATCTATCTGTTAATAGCTCGCCCACTGTGGATCTTTTACAGGTCTAATGAGAAGTTAGCAGAAGTAAAAATCAAGCTCTTTCATGAGCGCCACAAGAGCAAGTCATTACTTGCCAACAGCTTTTTAAGTGGAAGCATTTCTGCAAGTCCCATCTTGGAAACTGGTCAGCTTGGAAATCTTGGCAATAATGTAGCATTAAGCAGACCTTGTATCCCTGCAGCAGGATTCAGAAACCCAACTGAAAGTCCATTAGCCTCTAAAAGAAGAGTGGAGGCTTACTTGGCAGAGGTAATGCTAGCTTTATTTTTCAAAGATAAGTACAGTGGTGCCTTGCTTGACGAGGATAATCCGTTCCAGCGAAATCGCTGTAGAGCGAAATCCTCATCAAGCGAAAAGAAAAAGCCCATTGAAACGCATTGAAAACCGTTCAATGCATTCCAATGGGCGAGATACCTGCTCGTCCAGCAAAGATCCTCCATAGGGCGGCCATTTTCGGGTGCCTGTGCAGCGGAGAATGCCTCCTAAAAATAGCAGGGAGCCATTTTGAGCAGCCGGTGGCCATTTTGAAACCCCGACAATCAGCTGTTTTGATCGTCGTAATGCGAAGAATCGGTTCCCAAAGCAGGGAACCGATCGTCAGGAAGCAAAAAAGCCCATTAAAACAATCGCAAAAACGTTGTCGTGAAGCAGATGCGTCGTCAAGCGGGGTAATTGTTAAGCGGGGCACCACTGTAATAATATCTCAGCATTCACTCCTTTTTTATTTTGTGGGAGCATTGTAGCATTTGGCCCAGTGTTACTTGCTTAGGTGTCCCCAACCTTTTGGACATGATTAGAATTTTAAGAGGGCATTGTGGGCATTCTTATAGAAAGGCTGTCATGGTGAATGTGGTCACTTGCAAAACACCTGTTTTCCTGAAGATTCAATTCTTCAAAGAAAGAAAAAAAACCTCTGGTTTATGAATGTGGGAGACTGTATTTCTGTATCCATAATTCAAAATGCCAGGAAATGGCCCAATACTGCTGCACAGTATTGTGCCTTCATTGCCAGCAGGAAAAAGGCTACCAAGCTTTTAACAGCAAACAGCAGCCTGAATGTTGACCACATCAATGTCAACGGTTAAGATGGTCAACAGGGTACCCTCTAGTGCTCACTACCATTCACAAAGTGACACCAAGCAAGAGAAAATCTGAGAAGCTGACTTTTTTTCATTCATTATTCACTTCTCATCCAAAGATAAAGCAATTGTCAGGGATGTTTTTTGACGAGTGTGAATGGTTTTGCTGTGATGTTTACACATAAGTGATAATGCAGAATTGAATATTTTATTTCATAGCTAACAAAACACCATTCTCAATGTAATTTCAGATGCAAACGGAAATAGAAAAAAACATCAGGAGAGAATTAGACCAAGGTATGTTAGCAAACTACACGTTCATAGTTTCAAAACTCGCACTGCTGTGGAATCAGGGTTAAAGAATGATGGCAGTAATAGTACGTAAGGTATCATACCAAAACAGCATACATTATTACTGCCATCATTCCTTAACCTAAATTCCACAGCAGCATGAATATTTCTATAACTTACAAAGTAGATGTAAGTCGACTATAAAAGTATGTTAGCAAACTACACGTTCATAGTTTCAAAACTCGCACTGCTGTGGAATCAGGGTTAAAGAATGATGGCAGTAATAGTACGTAAGGTATCATACCAAAACAGCATACATTATTACTGCCATCATTCCTTAACCTAAATTCCACAGCAGCATGAATATTTCTATAACTTACAAAGTAGATGTAAGTCGACTATAAAAGCTTTAGGGCTATTTCTATAACTTACAAAGTAGATGTAAGACTATAAAACCTTTAATGGAGGGCCTTTACACTAGGTCTCTTCAAGGTCGCTGAGGTAGGATTTGAACCCATCTATGTCATTTACTTAGCCTTGCTCTCTGGTCAGACAGAGAGTGAGATTACTTTTTTTTTCACATCTGGCTCCTAGTTTGCATCCCAATTTGTGACAAGCATTTAACAATGCTTTTAGTTTTAGCCAGTTTTAAAGATCTGGCTTTGTTTAGGTAGTCATACATAGTTGATTGATTAAATATGACATTGTAATATAGAGCACACATACTGTACATTTCTATTATGCATGTGCTAAGCAAGCCCCAAAGTTTAACAGTCCTCTTAGTCATGCAAACTAGAAATTTTTGTATTTTTTGAAAATCAATTATTTCATAAATTGATTGGGAACACAGTGATGGATAGAAGTCATGTTGGGCAATAAGATGGATACAAAATTCTTACATCTGAAATCAAAGATACACTTAACTTTTTCTTCATGTGGTTTTATTTAGGAAGCATGTAATTTTGTGAACACCTTTCCAGATATGCCAAAATGAGTGGCAGCATTTTTCAGTGCCTTCATTTCCTCTCCCTTTAAGGTATAATGTAAATAATGAGCTAGATCCATTAACCCATTTGATTGCATTTACTTAGCCTTGCTCTCTGGTCAGACAGAGAGTGAGATTACTTTTTTTTTCACATCTGGCTCCTAGTTTGCATCCCAATTTGTGACAAGCATTTAACAATGCTTTTAGTTTTAGCCAGTTTTAAAGATCTGGCTTTGTTTAGGTAGAACCCTGTATTCATCCCTATGCTAAGGGAAGAATATTGAGTTATGTCTTAAAATATTTCCAAGAATTCCTCTAATGATTAATCTTCCAAGTCAAGTTTTAAATTTAATTGAATATACATTTAAAAATGCTCTAAGTACCTTTTCTTCTCAAATATTTCATTTCAACTATTTTGAGCTACTACAAAATTAAGATAGTTTTACAGTTCACGGCCTTTACACTAGGTCTCTTCAAGGTCGCTGAGGTAGGATTTGAACCCATCTATGTCATTTACTTAGCCTTGCTCTCTGGTCAGACAGAGAGTGAGATTACTTTTTTTTTCACATCTGGCTCCTAGTTTGCATCCCAATTTGTGACAAGCATTTAACAATGCTTTTAGTTTTAGCCAGTTTTAAAGATCTGGCTTTGTTTAGGTAGAACCCTGTATTCATCCCTATGCTAAGGGAAGAATATTGAGTTATGTCTTAAAATATTTCCAAGAATTCCTCTAATGATTAATCTTCCAAGTCAAGTTTTAAATTTAATTGAATATACATTTAAAAATGCTCTAAGTACCTTTTCTTCTCAAATATTTCATTTCATCTCTTTTGAGCTACTACAAAATTTAGTTTTACAGTTCGTTTTTCAAATTCATATGCCATACTTTTCAGTCTGTAAAATAAAAAATTGCCAATCACAGCTCAGTCCAAGACAGCAGATTATATTGTGATTCCAAATGTTTCTGAAAACCCAAAGCAGTGGGTTTCTTTTGATTTGATTCTCACTATGACCCTCTAGTTCAGTGGAGGCAAACCTTTTTCGGCTCGAGTGCCCAAAATGAGGGGGTGGGGAAGAAACCAGTGGCTGCCGTGCCGCCCGGAAGACCAGAACCAGAACAGGAAGTGGCAGATTCAGGGGGAATCATGGGGATGGACAGGAAGTTAAAAGGGGAATCATAGGGACAGACAGGAAGTTAAAGGGGGAATCATGGGGACAGACAGGAAGTTAAAGGACCCTGAACAGGAAGAGAAAGGGGGAATCCCAGCTGCAGCCACCTCAAAATGTTTGTTTCCATAAGTGTGGGGGGCTGGGCTGCTCACTCGCGTGCCAGAAGGGCTTCGCTGCAGCCACCTCAAAAGGTTTGTTTCCACAAGTGTGGGGGGGCTGGGCTGCTCACGTGTGCCAGAAGAAAGGGCTCCATGTGCCAGATGTGGCACGCATGCCATAGGTTCGCCATCACCGCTCTAGTTCATGGAGTTGCAAAGCAATCCGTTTGATATACTCCATGTAGTAAACATATACTAAGAATTAGATTACTTTATTTAACGAGTAGATACATAAATTGCTAGACAATTTCCATGTTTTCAATTTATTCTACCATAGCAAAATAGGTAGCTCTTTTAGTAATTCTTTTTACTTGTCATTATGAAATAGTCACCCTCAAGTTGGTTCTGGAGAAAAGGTGCCTCTTTATTGTTTGTTCTGTGTTTTCTGTGAAAGTAATAGGAATCTAAGCTTTTCTTTTCTTTATTTTCAGCTAAAAATGAACTTGATGCTGAATTTGGAAGAGTTTGCCCTGTAGGATCATTCGATGGATCTTCAAAAAACTTAAATGTGGAACAAGATCCAGTATCCAACACTGCACAGGAGTATTGTGATGTACTAATCAAAAACTATATGCTTTGAATAATATCTAATAAAAACGTATAGATGTTACTTTGATACATAACTTTATCCATTCCTGTGGTGTTCGCCCCTCGTGGCCCCTGCCTGACTCCCCAAACACAGAGCACATGAAGGCAAACCAATACTCCTTTTTACCCGCTGCCACCAGTTGATCACTAAATCAACATTACTTATGGAAGGATGAAGACGCAGGTCCAAACTTCACAGTCTTTTAAATAAAACTTGTTTATTGATTACAGATGTTTGATTATTAATCATAGGTAACTTCTACAGGTTTATTGATCATCAATCTCAACCTTCTATTTGTTATACAGTTCTTATTTACTCTTCACTCTAATCACACCTCAGATCTCCCAAATACCACACACACTCTCTCCACTCTCATCTCTAACTGACTCTCTGACTGACTCACTCACTCACTCTGACTCCGCCTCTTTTTACATCTCTCTCGGCTCCGCCTCTCAGCAACATTAGACTACAACATGAATAATGCATGACTATTTAACATAATAGGGAGAACACTACAATTGTCTACATCAAACACATACTGCCTGGTAGTCATGACAACAATGCCACATGCCACACCACCACCACCACCACCACAAAGAAATGTCTGGATCATTGACATTGCAATTCCAGAAGATGCCAGAGCTGAAAACAGCACATACACTGCACTATATTTAACAGATACTTTTTGATTAAAACTTGTATCTGTTATGTAGTAATAGTCAATGTTTTTAAAATTTTGATTGACTGTGCCTAGTATATTTGAACAACAACTGCAACAACAGTAATCTTAGAACTGCAGAGCTGGAAGGGACTCTATGGCTCATCAAGTATAGCCTCAGAACAGTGGGGAATCAAACTCACAACCCCCGCCTCTGCAGTCAGATACCTAACCCTAAACCCATCTGCTTATATCCTCGTCTGGACTCTACACATGAATGTCTCTATTTGTATCACTAGCAATTTTACCTATTCTTGGTTATTTTAAACAGATCATAAAATTGTCAGTAGCTCAGAATTTTTTAAAAAAATCACTGCTGATGAGCTTGGTCAAGATATATGGAATAGGCTGTATCCAACTGTGTCCAAGGACCAGCAAAATAGGATCCATTGCTACAGGGATGAACCACATGTGACCTTTCAGATGTCGAGTGGCAACTCCCTAGCTAGCACAGGCATGAATAACTGGAGGATCATGTGCTCCTCTTCTCTGTGCTAGTGGAACACACTTCCTTTGCCATAATTCCAAAATTTTGTTCCAGTGGCATGGGAAAATCCTCCAGTGCAGACAAAAATTGGAGAAAGAGAAGGAAAGGATACCTACGTATGCACTGTGCTTGATGTAACAGTGTCATTTTACAGCATGCTAGCTCATTTGAATTATGGAAGTGGGTGCTAAGTGACTGGGGTGAGAAGCCTTCTATCCTCACCCATTTTAAGAGGAAAACAGTATTTCACATATCTTCTACTGTGTTTCAATATATCATTCCATTCAATAATGTTTTCAGGATATTTTGAATTCTCGCATTACTTATTTTAGCTACAGTAAAATGATTAATTTTTTCCTCAACATTTCCAGCTTCAGGATTTGATCTTGTTTCCTGCCCCACCTCCCAGAAATTGGAAAGTTTCACTTTTGCTACCATATTTTCATTACTGTATTATAAATGAACGTTCAGAACAAAAAGCAATCTTTTCTGTCCAAGCAGCTGTATTTTTTCTCAACCTTTGAAAGCTGTGAAAACAATGGAATGAATGTATTTCAGTTACTACGTACATTCTTATGTGAAAAAAAATCCTTAGTTCTGTTTAGTCATATAGGGCTGCTGAAGATCTGTCTGAAACCTTGACAGGCTGCTGCTGGTCACTAACGGGCAATACTATGCTTGATGCACCAGTGGTCTGGCATGGGGTGTGGTGTCCTTCTGTTGTATCAAAGGGCAACAACAGCACACAGCAGGAGTTTCTCCACCCCCTCACCATTGTAATTATCCATTTTCCTCTGCTGATGTGACGCAGGAGTTTCTCCACCCCCTCACCATTGTTATTATCCATTTTCCTCTGCTGATGTGATTATTTATTCTGAAGGGCATGGATGCTTCCTGATTCCCATCTTTGATCATTACACCAAACTAATCCTAGGAATGCAGGCTCATAATGGTAGACTTCTGACTGTATCAATGTGTTTCCCTGACACACTGAAACCCCTCACCACATTTAGGTGTGAATCCAAGAGGGATAAATAACACATCTAAAATGACAGAAATCTGTATTGGTACTGCAAAAGACATGTGCTCATCTGGTGCTAACAAATCCCTTATAACATCAAAGTTGCTATACCTACTTCACCCTCATTTGACTTAATTCTAAGGGGATGTGTGGGACGACATCATGTGCTTTGGAACATTTCTCCTGAAATGTTTCTATAGAAGCAAAAGAAGATAAGCAAGGTTTCACTTCTCTGCAATGTTAACATTATGTTTTGCAGGAATCTATTCACAGGAATACTTTCAAGTAAAAGAGTGCTTCTGCTACAGCTTCTAATCCGGAATACCTGGAATTGAGCAGGAATATTAAGGGAGCCCTAGGATGAGTATCTTAGGAGCCTGTTTTTAAAATGCCTATACAGTATGGGCTTCATACTGGCTGGATAGCTCAGTGGGTTAGGTATCAGGCTGCAAAGCGAGGCTGGGAGTTTGATGCTCCACTACTGCCTTCTGGGAGAACAGTCGGCGTGTGTAGTCTTGGGCAAGCTGCACAATCCCAGAGCACCCCCTGCCCCAGAAAAGGAGAGTAGTAAACCACTTCTGAATACTCTCTGCCTAAAAAAAAACCCTGGAAGGAGTTGCCATAAGTCAGAATCAACTGTATTAAGGGAACTATTTGTATCATGCAGCAACAGGAGAGATTAATGCAGCTATTTTCTTATTTCCATTAGCTGGCATCACACACAGGACAGTGAGGGAATATTAAGTGCCAAAGTCTCATGCTCTGTTTCTCAGAAAGCTCCAATTGTTTTCTCCTAATTTTCCCAAGAGAGCTTTCCCTGGCCTTTCCTTTCAAACGTTAAACAAGATGAACTATCAGAAGAGCAATATGTTCAGGCTTTGCCCTGGCTCTGCCTCTATTAGCTGGCTTATCCTTGCCCAGGTAGCTACAGTGGACACCAGGTGGCTCAGCTTTGTCTCTCTTCATCATTCCCATTTAATGAGACCACATGTCCCTTATCAAAGTGCCCAGAAATATTCAGGAGGGAGCTTGTCTCCCATGTTACAATTATAATGCAATATAGCTACACCTTCATCACTGGGAGAATTTGTAAAGAGGTACTCCCAAACTCTGCAGTGGAGTTGACTATTTTTACTCCTGTTGACACAACAGTACTGTTTAACTGGTCCCTATCTTTATATATACTGCTTTTCCCAAAGCAGTTCTAATTGTGTGGTCATGTCAACACTTGATATTAGGTATCGGAATTTAATTTTATTATGTTATCAATTCAATATGAGAAATACGGCCTCTTTAGAAGATGAATATGACTTTGACTATAGGATAAAAAACATAAATGCTCCTTGTACAAAATCCAAATACAAGGGCAAGTGGCAATAAAGGTATGCCCCACCCTAGGCCTTCAGATTATGAATATATTGTAAGCCTCTGGGTAAACGGGGTTAGGATCAATCTGCCAGTACACTCTGGCATACTATAATCATGTACTCAAATTCAATTAAGTGTATGCATACTGGTATTATCTGAATGAATAATGGATGGAAAAAGAAAAACCCAACAACCGAGTTTTCAATAAAATGTAGAATTTAATATACATATGAAACCATACTGTTCAAAATAAAAATTACCAAATATCCAAGTTATTACACAGTATTTGTAAAAAAAGTAGCCATGCCAGCCTATAAATAGTTCTGTACAGCTGTAAATTTATGAAGTCCTACTACATCCTTGTCCTTTTTCTTCAGTGCACAACTGAGTTCAAAGGCTCTGCTCTTATATTCCCCAGGTCAAGGGCTGAGTCTGTTTCTTCATCAATTTCTCCAATCACAGCACTGTAAAAGAGATTGATTATATATGAAGTTCTGAAACCAAGTTGATTTTTTAAAAAGGCACAAGACGTTTGATTTTCTTAAAAGTATCTGTCAATTCTGCTAAGTAATTCTGCATATTCATTTTTAGCCAAAAACAAGTATTTACTGTAATTGTGGGGAAAAAAGAACATAAAAAAGCAGTGAGTTCAGTGTGTATCCTCCTCCAAAGTGTGGAGTGTCATTTCATTGAACATCAATCCGATCATAAGATCGATCTACTGCTTACCAAGTGTTGGCTAATTTCAGGCAAAGAAAGTTATATTGCTCACAACAGGAAATGTTACATGGGAAAATGTTTGTGGACAAAGAATTAGACTTTTTCGAACCCTCATTATCTCCTTCCACAGGTAGCACATAGACTGAATAAAGCTTCATAGCATCCTGAGTGTCATTTACAACAAACATAAAAAGGTAAAGGTTCCCCTTGACATTTTAGTCAGTCATCTTCGACTCTAGGGGGCGGTGCTCATCCCTGTTTCCAAGCCGTAGAGCCAGCGTTTGTCCGAAGACAGTTTCCGTTGTCACCTGGCCAGCGCGACTTAAACCCGGAACGCTGTTTACCTTCCCACTGAGGTGGTACCTATTTATCTACTCGCATTTACATGCTTTCGAACTGCTAGGTTGGCAAGGAGCTGGGACAAAGTGATGGGAGCTCACTCCGTCGCGTGGATTCAATCTTATGACTGCTGGTCTTCTGACCCTGCAGCACACAAAGGCTTCTGCGGTTTAGCCTGCAGCGCCACCACATCCTACGTACAACAAACATAGGCATCACAAATCTACTTTTAAAATATAGTTTAGGCTGCAATCCCATGTATTCTGAAAGTACTATAAAACCAAGTACAACATATTTTGAAGAAACAGAAAGAACGCAAACTTCAATATTTTAGGGAGGAAATATCAAAACCTGGATAAAAAGCTACGAGCTGATAACCCATGAGTTCTTGAAATAGTCAACTAGGATACCAAAGCCTGCGTCTGAATGCTGTGGAAGGCATGATGTTGCACTTTCACAAACAAAGGTAAGTAACAGAACATATGGAAGTATCAAACAAGTATCAGATGACAGGTCACTTAAGTGGAAACAAGACAGTGGAGGAAAAAAGGTAACTCTTTGGTTCTCTGTGTGTAATTGCAACGTTTCACATCACTATAATATAAAAAAGAGGTCCAATATTCTACATTTATGGGCAGCAACACGGAAAGCCCAAGTAAGGATATAAAGAGAATATATCTAACATCTAGCCTCCAAATAAACCATCTAATCCTGAAAGCAAACAAGTATTTCAGCTTTGATTATAGTACATTAAAAACATTAGGGCCAGGGGGGCAAACTTACACATTGTCTCCTCTTACAATGTACAATCCTAATACTACTTGTTCCACTCCTTGTGAAGAACTGAACACTCTTTCATGGCTTTCATCCAAAATCAAGTTGATTGTTTGATCAAAGCCTTTGAGGGTTCCCTAGAAAACAAAGAAAATGAATGTTCAAGTTCTCAAATACTGCATTATGTCCTAAACATATACTAAATATCAAAAACTATACATCTTTAAAGATTATGCTAATTTAAGAAGATTATTTTTAAGTAATTTTTCAGATAATAAACTGTGTATTATCAACATCACTGTATTTCCCACCGAACCTCTGCTGGCCTCTGAACTGGAGTATTTAAAAAAAGACAGAAAATATGGTTATAAAGAGTAGTAACCAATGATTTATCAAATTTTTTATACTTGATCAAATGTTTCATTCTTCCAATATTGAAACAGCCCCTAATTTTATACAACAAGCATATTTGTAAGTTTCTCCTTATAAACAAAGGGAAATTCATACTTCAAAATCATTACCACTATTCCCAAAGTTTTTCCTATGTCCTATGGCAGTGATAGTGAACCTTTTTGAGCCCAAGTGCCCAAATTGCAACACAAAATCAACATATTTATTTCAAAGTGCCAAAACTGCAATTAAAAACAAAATGCTGAAGTTTTAGTTTTAAAAAAAACAACTGCTCCTGTACTAAAAGGGATTAAATGCTGAAGTTTTAGTTTAGAAAAAAAACTGCTCCCGCACTGCAAGGGTTAAATGCTTCCCCCCCCCCCCAATGGGCGGAATTAACAAATAAATACTTACTGGTGGGGCAAATCTGGCTTCCAGTGGGAAGGAGTTCTAAAGGTTGGGAGAGTTTTTGAAACACAGCTACATCTTTGATAGTGCAGGGATGGTGTTAAAATACTCGTGTTTTTAACACTTAGGTTGTTTTCTTAACAGGCTCTTTATAATATCTTTTTCATGGCAAGGGCAAGAAAAAATGTCCAAAAAGAGGCCAAAAAAAGGGTCAAAGGCTTCATTGAGTGACTGTGCCCATGCTTATTTATTACTTTCATTTTCCCCCCTAACTCAGGGCTTAGGAAAGTTCCTTTTGGTACAAATGCTGGAAGATAACTTTTTGGAGCACCAGCCTAGAATCCTGACAAAAGGCCAATATGGTGAGATTCAACAACCAGAGGGATTGGTGACAGGGGATACATTTACAGGCCACAAATAATATTTTTTTTAAAAAATCATGCAAAATTCAAGCTTTTGTGGGTGAATCACATGTTCAGAGGGACTGTTGACATCATCTTCAAGACTCAGCCAATCCCGAGGGTGTTGCTGCTGCCTTGGGAACTCAACCCCATTTTCCTGGGTCTTTGTGACCTCACAGGGGCCCCACCTCTCTGCTGGCAGATAAAAGGGGCTTGCTAGGCAAGGTAGGAGACCAGAAGGGAGGCCAGTGGCGAGAGGGCAGTCTGGCAGAGAGAGAGCAGTAGCAACTGCAGGGGAGCCAGCCCTTCTGCCCAAGGCAGTTTCTCTCGCAAAAGCAGATGAACTTGCTAAGTGGGCTTGCGAGTTAACAGCTCGAGGCTGGCGGAGATCCGTGGCTTGAAGCTGGCTGATATCGGTGATGAACCAGGGGGAAGTCGGTGGATGTTGGCAGACAGAAGCTGGTGAAATCTTTCTGCGGAAGCTGGCTGAGGCCGCAAGGCAGAGGCCGGGGGATGTTAGCCTCCTGATACCAGCTGGTGACAGCTTGGTGGATATCAATGGATGGAAGCCCGGGCATGTGTGTGAAAGGCTGGCGGAGTGAAGGTGTGTGTCAGGGGGTGGCTGGTGTGTATTTGTGTGAATGTGTATGTGAATGGGCTGGCTAGCGTTCCGTGGGGATGTCTCAGGGCGTGTGTGTGACCCAAGCAGTCGGCAGCTGGTGGAGGCTGGCTTCAGAAGTGGAGTAGAAGATATATTCCTGGTCAAAGCTAGTGGATGTTGGCAGGTGGAACTTCGGGATGAAGTTGCCAGAACATTGGTCGGGGGATACACCTGGGTTGAAGCCGGTTGACGGCAGTGGATGAGCTCGTCCCTTAGGTTTCTCTCTCTCTCTCTCGTAGGGCCCAAAGCATACTCTTCCCCAGGGGGATGCAAGGGATCAGAAGGCAGCCATCTTGCTAGGCCATTGTCTCCGCTGAGGATACCAGTTTAGCTTCTTTTCCAAAACCAATACAATAATTTTCTGGAATGGTTTTGAAGTGTTGTCTTGTTTGTCAGGGGCTGTCTCGGAATTATCTCTCCCATCCCCCTCATTATATCTGGGGCCTAAGGCCCTGGGTGGGTCTTTGTGAAGTCATGGTGTGGGGCCTTGTGATGTCACAGGAATTGGGAACATAATATTTCTCCATGC